GCTGTTGTCTCATGTGGTAACATTATCAGTATACCTTGACACCATTAATTCTCAGTCCATATTCTGATTACCCCAGGCATCCAGAACTCCACAGAGCTCCAGCGTAGGCCAGCAGGATTGTCATGGCAAGAAGTATTAAGAAAGGGTAGTGATTGCTGCCTGGCTACCTTGTCTGTGGCTCTGGCAGAAATGGGTAGAGTGGAGAGACTGTGGGCTGATTATAGTCTTCAGAAGCTGGAAGATGTTGAGACTACCTCTCCTTTGATTCCTGGTGTCCTGTGATGTTCTGGGTCCTCCCAGCTTCCTGCTCATGGTCCCACCTGTCTGTCTCACCAATGCCCATTGCCTCTCCTCTGTTGGCTGCTGCTGTCACTGGAGACACTTCCTAACTTGGAGATGAGGCTTTTCCCATGCTTCATGCTCTTCAACCAAGCATAGGATAGTTTAGCTCAGTGACTCAGATCTTTAGTCTTCCTTATGTATTTCTTTCTTAGACTAGCTTGGCTAAAATCCTCACAGCAAGAGAACATTTGAGAAGCAATTCCCTCTCAATCTCAAAGTCTATGACCAGAGAAATACAACAGCCAGGTGTTTCTTGTTATCCGAGACATGGCTAGGATAATTTGACTGGAACCTTATGAATATGGTCCTCATTGTATAATATCAGATTTATGTCAATTGATGACATTAAGGCAATGCACTTGTTTTTTCTTAAATAAAATATATATTGGGGGCTAAAATGGCATCATATCTGCAACTTACTTTCAAGGTTCAGAAAACAATAGAGATGTACAGAGAAAATGATAAAGCCCATGTGGTAGAATAAACACAGGGAGTGGGGAGGTGGGAGCTGGGTGGAAGCAAGGCATCATGGGAGTTCAGAGACTGGGTGTGGGCCTCCAGGGCTCCTTTGCCTCTCAGTCCCATCACGAGTTCAGTTTCCTTACTCCAGCTTTCTTCTCTTCCTTCTCTATACGTCATCTCTATGTGATCCCTTTTTCCAAGGTATTCATGACCAAGCACGTGACAATCTCAAATTTCTCTCTTGAACTCTGGTTCCTTGTCTGAATATCCAGTTACTCACATCACCTCTCTGTTCCTCGCTGTCTCATAAGCATCTCCGAGTCACTGTACCCCAACAGTATCATGTTTTCCCTGCTCTCTGGGGCTTTTCACCTAGGTGCACAGTGCCAGCAACTTGCTCAAACCAGGAAAAAAAAATCCCAGGGGTCATTTTTGGCTTATTGCCCCCTACTGCCCCCTTACATACAACTGTGCTTCTTGTAGTGAGATTTAGTTTTCAGACTATGAGCTCTTTTGTTACTTCTCCCTTTTCCAACCCTATTTATCAAGATCTTTGGGGAAATATAAAACCCTGACAAAAATTTGCCAGCAAGTAACAACATTGGTGCTGTTTAATTGTGGCTCAATTAATAACCTTGTTTTATGATTTTAAAAGTTATGACTGGCTGCGTATTTATATATTAGCTATTTTGAAACTTTTAAAATTACATTTACCCATCCATTGTGTGTGCACGTGTGTGTGTGTACGTGGAGCTGTGTGTGTAGAGGGGTGGTGGTCAGAGGAATCGGTTCCGTCCTTCGACTCTGTGGGTCCTGGGGACAGGACTCGGGTGGTCAGGGTTGGGGCAAGTGTCTTTACCGCCATCCACCAGTCCACCACTCCCATCTCATTAGCCATTGAATCTGTGTTTGAATATGAACAAACATAAAATACGGATCTCCACACAATGCCATTGATCTGATAGATTGGGACAGACACTGTATCAAATGAAACGGAGGCAAGTTCTGTCACTCAAATCATGCTGCTTCATCATTTTTGAAACACTTCTTTGCCAAATGTTTGTTTTGTGTGAGCTCTTGGGTCTGAAGAATGTGGTTCCTCACCATCATTATGAACATAGAGTTGCCTCATTTGCACCTGGAGCGACAACAAGACATGGTGAGACCTAGGGGTGGTGGAGCCATTTGGGGAAAATTGTGGTCATCCGGGGCCCTTTGGAACAGCACTGGTCCAGGATGCCCCATTAACCTGTTACTATTTTAAGAATGCAGAGCACCTCCTCAGAATGACCTTTGCTAAACATAGGTTCCCAAACATGATGTAATTTGTGTGCTTGCAACAGAGAAAGAATGCCCTGCTCCAACCCCTCCCTGGCAGGCTTTCAGGGGTAATCCCTCAGCCCTGACCTTGAAAACATTAATTTTCACTGTGACAATTTTAATGCAAAGGAAAGACACAGTGGCCTGGCGGGAAGCTTAGCCACTCAGTGAAGGGCCCCGTATTACCAGAGGACACTTTCTTTCAACCTGGTATACTCTTTGGGGTCAAGTAAACCACCTTTGACAAAGCTTTTGGAAATTGGGATTGTTTTAGGTATCAGCATATCACATATGAAGATAAAGTGCATCTTCACTGAGGAGCCCAAAGATGGTGTCAAAAGAAAACAACACTTTCAAATTAATAAAGGAAAGGAAACCTAAGAATTTGCCATCAGAGACCTCATTATAGGAAATACTAAATGATTCATCAGCAAGGTGAGCCTAGGCAGAAAGCAGGAAAAGTAAGAATATGGAGACTGTATAAAATAATAAGGCTATGGGTTTAAGATTTATTTAAAGTAAATATCAGTATACAAGTTGTGAGGTGATAAATGTGGCTCAGAGATTGTAAAGACTATGTTGCAGGAAAAATGATTTAAGTTTAATAGTTTGTTTCGTTTTTTTTTTTTTTTTTAAGATTCATTTTGGGCCCAGTATGCTGGCACATGCCTTTAACCCCAGTCCTAAGAGATCTTTGTGAATCTGAGGCCAGCCTAGTCTTCACAGAGAGTTCCACGGTAGTCAGGCTACCTAGTGAGACCTTATCTCATAAAACCAGAAAAACAATTCATTTTATTTCTTCTACATTCATGTTTATGTGAGTGTAAGCCGCATGCATGCCCTGCATGGTGGTTTAGATAGGAATGACCCCTATAGACTATGTGTGAGAATGCTTGGCCTGTGGGAAGTGGCACTATTAGGGGAATGGCCTTATTGGAGGATGTGTGTCACTGTCCAGGAGGCGGGCAGGCTTTGAGGTCTTAAATGTTCAAGCTATGTCCAGTGTGGTGCACAGTCTCCTGCTGCTACCTGTGGATCAAGATATAGAACTCTCAGCTCCTTCTCCAGCACCAAGTCTGCCTGTGTGCTGCCATGCTTCCCTCCATGATGATAATGGGCTAAACTTCCAAAACTGTGAACCAGCCCCAATTAAATGTTTGCCTTTATAAGAGTTGCTGCGGTCATGGTGGCTCTTCACAGCAATGGAAGACACCTTGCCTGCCAAATCCAGAAGAGGGTGTTGAATGCCCTGTGGCTGAAGATACAGGCAGTTGTGAGAAGCTCTATGTAGGTGCTGAGAATTGAACTCAGCTCCTCTGGAAGAGCAGCAAGTTCCCTTGACCACCCGCCCATCTCTACAGACCAGATTTTAATTTTAGTTTTTAATTTTTTTTGAGACAGAATGTCATGTAGTCCAGGCTGGCCTCAAACTTTCTATGTAGCTGAGAATGACCTTGAACTTCTGATCCTCCCAAGTGCTGGGATGGCAGGTGTGTGCTATCCTGCTCAGTTTATGGGGTGCTGAGGATCAATCCCAGGGTTTGCCAGGGCCAGGTAAGCTGTCTACCATGCGCTCCATCCCAGCTCCGAGGCTAGGCTTTGATAGGACTCAGGTGACTGCCCAGACTTCTGAGGGTAATCACTAAAACACAGAAACACAACAAACGGACAGAGAATGGCGTAAAGCATAATGACACCTTTTTTAATGCAATGAGGAAAAAAACATCATCACTCAAAAACAAAGAGAAAAATAGAACTTATCAGACAAAAAGAACCATAAAATAAGATCATACATTTAAACCTAGTAGATGTTTATTTGTTTGTTTGTTTGTTTGTTTGTTTTGAAGCAGAGTCTCTCTATGCAGTCCAGGCTGTCCTAGAACTCCCTTCAGATCAGGCTGGCCTTCAACTCACTGAGACCCACCTGCCTCTACCGCCAAGGTGTTGGGATTAAAGGAGAGCACTACTATGCCAGGCAACTGTAGACTCTGACAGCAGAGGTGAACCAGGATGGGCTGTGTCTCCAAAGTTCTCAAGAGGTGTATCTGTGTGTGCATGTGTGTGCATGTGTGTGTGTGTGTGTGTGCATGCACACGTCAGAAAGCTATTACTAGAGACCTGAGCTTTAAAATTAGGTATGTCTGGGTGTAGAGACCCAGTCTGTCCTCTGCATTACCAGGCTTTCTTTGGTGGAGGTGGGGGTAGGGTGGTGGGAGGGTAATTCTCCTCTAGACAGTACAGATGGCTTGTGCCTGCTTCAGATGGTGTCTTAGCCAGTGCTTCCTGGGACTCCCTTATACCTATGCTTTGTCCTTTTCTGTTTTACGTTTTGTTTATCTCTCTGTTCCACTTTCACTAAGTAGACATTTTTCTAGTATATTGTTTTAATCCATTTATTCATTCTTAACTATTTTAAATAACTTTCTCAATAATTGCTCTAGGGATTATAATGGATTATTTTTTCCCATAGTCCGCCTCAATTAATGCTAACTTAATTCCAAGACAGAGAAACTGCTCCAATCTAATCTAACCCTCACCCTCTGACTTGGAGAAAGACTAGGAAGAACACTTCTGGGGGTGGGAGTGAGGCTTGCAGGGAACATGATGAACTATTTGTAGTTTAATTACAAACACCAGTACAGCAATGTAACAATGTATTACCCAGAGCCATACAGAAACATGAAAAGCCAAGGGCAAGGTCATGATAAACAGCAGTTTTATTGAACACTGTGCCCAAAGCTCTATGCATCACAAGCTAATAGGATCACAGTCCCTCAGGAGGTCCCCAGGGAGGGGTGGGAGCAGGCCAGAGGACCTGTGAACAGCTCCACATCATCGGTCTGGCCACAGCCCCCAGCAGCACCAGCAAGGGCTCTCTAGGTCATGAGCTGCTTTTCCTCGGCTGAAATGACACTCAGCAACTCTTGAATGAACCTTTGCTCCTCCTCACTGACATAAGTCTCAGCTAGACTGAGGGCTTTCGTGGCATATTCCTTCGCCTGGAACAGAATTGTAGTGCTAGGTGGAAGTGGCCTCAGGAAGGAATAACAATGAGAAACTGATTTTGTGTTTAGCTCAGAAACTGGGGAGGAGAGATCACCTTCTCTCCACAGACAGAGAAAACTCGACTTGACCAGAAAAGGACAGACAGGTACCCCTCCTTAGCAGAGTGAGAGCTAGCAGGGATGGTCCTGAGCCATGGACCAGGGCTAGGAGGCAGAGGGCTCACTGGTGCCAGAAGTAAAATATCCTGGAGACCCCTGCCTGGGGCCCAGAGTTCTGACTTTACAGAGGCTCCCTGGGATATCTATCTCAGGGTAGTCTCTGGTTTCTATCCTCTCTGGCCTTTCTATTTATCAGCTGGCTGCTATCTGCCAGAGACCAACATACACAGAAACCTGTGTCCGTGGGAAACTTACACATCAGGAAAGACAATAAGCACAATGAATAAGAAAAACATGATGATACTGGGGGTTTGTTTTGAGACAGGTTCTCTCATAGCCCAGGCTGGCCTCAAACTTACTGTATAGTTGAGGATGACCTTGAACTTATGGTCCTACTGTCTACTTCCTGAGTGTGGGTCAAGGGAGCATGGTGGTGGGAGAGTGGGGGGTAGGAGGGTGGGAGTAGGTGGGAGGTGAGGGTGGGTGGCAGGGTGGGCACAACAGGCTTGAAGCAAGAGTGAGGTCGAGATATGTCCAATGTCATCTTCAGACCAGCAAAAGTGAGGATCACTCCTAGCTATTCTAGGCCTGCATGCCCCTGGGGGTCTGTAGCCCTACTGACCCCCCACTTCTACCACCTCCATCAGCCTTGATGGCCAAATTACCTGGAATTGCTCTTCATGCAAATAAAGCATGCCCAGCACCTCAGCCCCAGCCAATAATGTATACAATCTTCCTGAAAGCCCTACCTACTCCCCAGGGTTTATAAAGCCCTTGTTATCCACAAGTGAAGGCTTTTCATAGAACACCGTGTAGAAGAGCTGTTTCCGTCCCTCCGTAGAGAAGAGCCGTAACACTGAGAGTCCGCAGGGAGAAGGCTTTCTCCTAGGCACTCACCAAGGTCCTGTGACATCACCCACCAGGACAAGCCTCATTCCTTTCATTCTGGTCAGGCCCACATTGGTGCCTGGATGCTCCGAGGGCAGGAGCAAAGCAGGGCCCACACCTGAGAGCTGAGATTACATGTGTGCTCCGCCACACTCAGCTGCTTATGACTCAATCTTAAGCATTAATGTATGCAGAGAACCAGAGAAAGTAGGAAAGAGGCAATGAAGTGCAGGGGTGTAGTGGGATGTCCCAGGGCCTCCTGAAAAGGGGGAAGCTCAGCTGAAGAATGGCCTTGATCAGACTGACCTGTGGCCCTGCCTGTGAGAGACTGTCCTGACTGGGGACTGATGTGGGGCCCAGGCCACTGAGGCAGCACCATCCCTGAAGAGGTAGGCCTGGGTTGTATGAGGGAATAGCCAGCAGGCATCCTTCATGGTTTCTGCTTCAGTTCTTGCCCTGACTTCCCTCAAGGATGGACTGTGACTGAGGTGTAAGCTGAAATAAACCCTCTTCTTCCCCAAGTTGCTTTTGGTCATGGTGTTTTGATACAACAACAGGAATCAAACGAAGAGGCAGGGACTCTGCGGTTTTAGACAATGACGGGTTTAGACATGAAGGAGGGAGGTGTTGAATCTCGATATCCAGATGGGCTCTTTTGTCTAAGCACCGTTAGTAAACCTAACATCTTTAGCATGCTTTGGCATGAAGGCTTCTCCTTAGGTGGACCCTGACCTGTAGAAAAGGGTGTGATCCCACAGTGCCCTAGGCTTCGCTGTCACACTCTTGTGACCATACTGAGCTCCTTCAGACCCTTTACAGAGCACCAGGTACCCGAGGCTTAACAAAGTTTGTTGAAGAAAAGGAGGGAGGAAATGAAGCTGTGAGGAGATTGTGGAATTCCCCGTGTTCCACAGAGAAAGCCCATCCCTCACACAGGGCTCCACCCCTCACACAGGGCTCCACCCCTCACGCAGGGCTCCACCCCTCACGCAGGGCTCCACCCCTCACACAGGGCTCCACCCCTCACACAGGGCTCCACCCCTCACACAGGGCCCCACCCCTCACACAGGGCCCCACCCCTC